CCCACTCGCGTTTTGAACAAAAATCACGACTGGAGGTGTTTTGCTATTGTCGGCCTCCGCGGGCCCTTTACCGGGCCTCGGGGCCGTCCAAAAAATGCTTCTGGATGAGACGCCGGTCACGGGGAAGGGGGTCCAGACCAGATTTTTGGGGGTCGATGTTATGGCAAATGCACGACGTCGGGGGTCTGGATGTCTCCTATCTTGGGGGCCTTTGGAGCCATCTTGGTGCGATCTTGGGGGCCTGTTGGGCCGTCGGACGGCCGTCGGACGGCCGAAAAGAAGCAACTGCCAAACTCGTTCACGAGAGCAGTGAGAAAACCATTGACTTTGGCCTCGTCGTGGCAGCCAGGCCGCTGGAGCAAGGACGGGCCGATGTGGGTTCCAGGGGTGCTCTGGTTTGCGGGCCAGCCCGGGTCGTGGGCGGGGAACCTACACGGGTGGTCGAGGCTCTCCCCCCTTTCTGGCCATGGCCGCACGAGGGCTGTACTTCTTTCTCTCCCCCCCAAAACAACACAAATCCTTCTCGCCCCCAGCCCCCCCCCCCCCCTGCCGATTGTTCATCTTCTGTTGCTTCTCTCTCTCTCTCTCTCTTTTTTTTTGTTCTCTCTCTCTCTCTCTCTTTCTCTCTCTCTCTCTCTCTCTCTCTTTTCTCCCCCTTCTCTATTCGTTTATATCTATAGAGAGCTATAGCGTATCTCCCGCTATATCTATATATATGTATGTATACAGTTATTGTCTCCCTCTCTCTTTCTCTATTCGTGCTTGGTTTTTTTGTTTATTTCTCTCTCTCTATCTATGTATGTATTACCCCTCTGAATATAGTTCACTCTCTCTCTCTCTCTCCCTCCTCGTCCATACCCCCTCTTCCTCCACCTGTACTCCCCCCATCCAGCCCGCCCTCGCCCTCTCCCTCGCCTGTCTTCCCTCTCAGAGGCGGCGGCGAAGAAGCAACACGAAGAGGAGGAGGAGGAGCAGGAGGAGAAGGCGGATGGGGCAGGGGCAGGGGTCGAGCATGGCAAGGAGAGGATGGAGACGGGACGAGGAAGAGGAGCAGGAGCGAAGAGCCAGCGAGTGGTGGGCGAATGGATGACGGATCGAGGAGGTGTTCTCGACCCCCGCCTCCAGGAGTCACTCGGGGGACCTGGCCACCCGCCCCCTTGGAGGGTCCGTCCTGCATGCAACGTGCTTCGACTGCGCTCGTCCTCCCTCCGTTGCAGGTAGAGTCCAGGCAACACCAGCTCGACCCCCGCCCCTAGCGGCAATGGCCCCGTGGCGGCGGGAGCGCCCCTTTCATCGCGGTGCCCGTGCCACCAGCGCGCAGCGCACAGGTGGAGGCGGCGCATTAGGAGCAGGTGGCACCCGACCCCTGGCAGCACCCCTGCGCTGCTGCTGCTCCTCCCCCTGCGCGAACTTGTATCGAACTTCGAGCTGCGCGTCCCGCGTCCGGATCTCAGTCTTCCCTCGGCCTGGACTTTCGCTTTCCGGGCGTTTCTTTTGCTCAAGGACTCCATGCTCTAAGCGTGCTCCGTCCCCTTCCGCGCCCGCTCTTCTCCCGCTCCTGCTGCGCCCATTTGTTATCTTAACTTAAACAGAAAGAGTGGTCCAAGAGGTCTTGTGCGAGGTCTTGTGCGGAATGCCTTGTGCGGTCTTGTGCGGGCTCTTGTGTTGGGCTCTGGGCGTCGATTCGCGTTCTTTTGCTTCGTTCTCCTGCACAGGTCGTCTTGTGCGCGTCTTGTGCGCGACCACTATTCGCTCGACCATTGGTTCGGTTGAACATAGTAGACCCTCGTAGTATCTTTCGGCCGCCTTCGATCGCGGCGTGGATCCGCGCCGCGGTGACCAAAGCAGGCCTTGGGGGGCGCTTAGGAGAGGGCCTTGCCCTCTCTGCGCATGCCGCCTTCGGCGGGAGGTCTGCGGAAGCAGAACGGTGGCGGGCCTGCCAGCAGGTGATCGTTTTCTTATACATTGTTTTGCCGATCGGCGGGCCCTCGCCCCCCCCCCCCCCCCCCTATCCCTTATCCCCCCCCATGGTGTGGATCTTGGCTGTTTCTGGCGTCTGTTTCAGGCAGGTGGAGACTCCCCTATAGAATGCACTGCTGCAGACAGTCGCATTAAGCAGAAGTCCTGAGCCAGACCCCCCTCCTTACGCCCAATTTCGAAACGTCGAATAAGAAAGCGTTCGCCAGAGGGTCGGCGCCGGGCGCTGGCAGTCAGAGGGAGACGTCAGCACTCGCAGATCCAGGGCTTCGGGATCAGCCGTTCTCTTTCTCCAGCGAGCGATGCCCAGACCCCCTCGCGTTGTGAAGTGATAGCGACGGGAGGTTTCTCGCTAGTTTCAGTATCCGGGGGCTCTTACCGGGCCTCGGGGCCGTCAAAGGACGACTCAGGATGAAAATCCGGTCCCGGGGAAGGGGTCGAGACCTCCGGGTCGACGTTGTGGGGGTCTGGGTAGAGGGAGCGAGGCAGGATGCCGATGGTTGGCGAGTGCTGCCTGGAAGGGGGATCATGCCAGTGCTGCCTGCCTGTCTCTGCTGCCACGTAAGCGACGCAGGGCAAGGAGTCGCCTTTACCGACATTGGCGCGCGCATGAGCGCCTTCGTTGCCAATGCGGCGTGCCACGCTGGCGCTCGTGTTAGCCACCGCGGTAGGTCGCCATGCCATGTTGCGTCAGGCTTGGACTGGGCCAGCATGGCAAACGCGGCCGGGGTCCTGTAGATATAGCAGCGTAGGTCGAATCTCCGCGGAGACCTCCAGATTGTATTTGGCCATTCCCCAGATCTGTGGACGATTTCCAGGCTCCTAGATCTCCGAAGAATCTCCGGACTTTACAAGTCGACTGTTAAATCTCCAGGAAAATTCTGGCCTGCAGAAATCTTAGGAACATCCTTTTGGAAAATCTCCAGAAAGTCTTTGGCATTCTCCAGGAAATCTTTGGAGCATCCCCAGCACAGATCCAGAATATCTCCAGCGTGTAGAAATATTGTCCGAAAGTATCCGGACGCCCTCCGGCAAATCTGCAGAACATACCGGGTGGAGATGTCGCTGGAGATTTGTCTGGCGCGAAGATTTATTGGAGAATCGCGGGGGGCATTTTGAAGGCGCGAAGATGTTTGGAGAATCGCCTGCAGAGTTTGACGCGCGAAGATGT